TCTTTCAAAAAACATAAAATACCTTAGCCTGAAGATCCTGTATGGTGACAAAGTAAGCACTGTAGTCACGAGCAACAGGGGAGGCTTTGCCATCTAGGAACTGGCGGATCTTCAGCTCCAGATCAGCGTTGGCCTTCTCCAGTGAGCGCACTTTGACCAGGTAAGCAGCCAGGCGGTCATTGAGGCTCTGCATGGTGAGTTTCTCATTGCCAACGATGCTGTTGTCTGCAGATCCTGACGCGCTGAAACCTCCAACAGAGTAAGTGGCCTTGGAGATGCGGACCCCTGAACCTCCTGCGCCGGCGTACACGCTCCCGGCCCTCGCGGTGCTCATGCGGCTGCTTCCCACGCTAGACGTGGATATACGCGTGGAGCCGCTGGAGGACATGTAGCTGCTGCGGGTGGAGTAGGTGGAAGCCATGTTGACCAAGACTTTCTGTCTGCGTCTGCTCTGGCAAGTCAGTAAATGACGGAAGGAGAATGCCAGCTTCTTTTATAGAGTGAATTTGAATATAAGACAGAAAGCCTGGAATTCCATGCATGTCATCTCACTGCATTCGCTGGAACGATTCCAGCGACCTTAAAGGTCACACCTAAGGTGAAATGTAGGGTAAAAGACACTGTTAGCAAATCTTCCAGCTTCTGTTTGACTTTCGTGCACATTAATGGCAGTACAAACACTCTGAAAAAATAAAAAGATCACTGATATAATATATCAATTATAGCTTATTATATATAGATAATAAGCACAAATCAGCAGATTAGAATGATTTCTGAAGGATCATGTGACACTGAAGACTGGAGTAAAGATGCATTGCATCACAGAAATTAATTGCATTTTAAAATATCAAAATAAAAAGCTGTTATTTAAAATTTTAATAATATATAATAATATTACTGTTTTTACTGTATTGTATTAGGCCTATTTTTTTCTCAAAAGTAAATGCGTCTTGTTTTTAAGATGTTAGATCAATTTACTGGAAAACTATTTATTTTATTCATTTTTATATTATTTATTTAATTTACGTTGAAAGAAGATAAATAGTAACACATGATGGTTTTGCAATCCAAAAAATGGTTTATTTCACCATAGACACTTTCTCCCCTTCTTTTGGATCAATTATTATGCATTATGGTGTTTTGTTGACTTTTTCTTAGTTATTTTGTCATTGTTTAAAGATGCAAAGGTTGTTGAAATTCAGGCTAAAAAAATTTAGAAACAAATTCTGTGTAGAGAACCCTGCAGCACAGCGGTTTTCATCCTAGAAACTAGAGAGTCCTAGAGAGTTTAAAGACTTGTTTCCATTAGTAACAATTATTTTCAACAGACCTTTCATTTCAACACTCCACAGGCGTGTTACCACAGAAATTAATTCTGCTTACTGACTAGACCACGTTTCTTTTATGGGCTTGGCTGGGCTGGGCTGGGCTGAAAACACTTCTGCTGTTGATGCGTTTGACATTTGCGGTTTCCGTATGTACAGCAGCATTATGATGGAAAGGTGAGGTTTATGAACAGATTTACACAGGAACTAGATTTGTTTGTTTGCCTTTTGTTATTTTAGTAGTAAGTGAAATATCTTTCATTCCAGTTTGACCTTTTAGGTACTTTTGCAACATAGCAGAAAGTAATTTGTCAAGATTGTGCAATGCTAACTGCTTTTTCATTTTACACAATGACCCTATACTGACCCTATGCTACATTATCCAATATCTTATCTTGTCTTGTGTTTTATGTATTGATAATTTCTTATTTTTTAATTTAATTTTAATCTTATTTTTCTGTTTGTAACTCATTTATATTCTTAAAAAATTACGTAATGCACTTGCAAAATATCTACTCAATAATTGTAGCTTGTTTTAGTAGTTTTTATGTGATTGAACTGGAAAACATTTTTAAAAAGACATTTTAAAAAACAATAAGTCATTTTAAATTATATTAAATGAAATTATATGAAAGACAATTCCAAAAAGGCGTGCATAAATGCATCTATAAATACATCTATAAACCATGCTGGTTGTTGGTGGTTTGATGCTGGATTAACTAGTTGACACAAGGAGTCAAAGTTTGACTGGTTAGCATAGTCAAGTTTGGATGTAGTGCATTCTGTGGACAAAAGGCATATTTCTCTATAGATGGCCATTCAGAAGTAGCTGTGTATTGTAATGAAATGTTTTGCAAGCAACGTATAAATCAAATATTTCATTATATTAAATATGCTCTTTAAAACATTTTCCTCTCTCCTTTGTCCTCCTCCTCCCCAGGCTAACCGAGACTTGTCATTTGCACTTATATATTTTTGCTCTTCTGTTAGTTTTGACTGCTTTTATTGTCCTCATTTGTAAGTCGCTTTGGATAAAAGCGTCTGCTAAATGACTAAATGTAAATGTAAATATTATAGTTGATGTTTATCCTTGGCAGATTTTTGGAGGTCTCCTACAGGAGAAATGGATTTATACTCCTTGGGTGGATCGTCAAAACACATATATGTGAGATTTGTCATTCCCACATAAAAATGAATGTTTACTCTCATTACCATTGTTTTTCGTTCATTCACATTCATATTTATTTATTCAGCAGGTTCTGTCATCTTTGCAAGTTTCTTGCCGTCTTTTGTAACTAGTTTACATAGTTCACGTTCTGATACATATCTCTGTGGTTTAGCTAACCTAGTTCATAATGTTGTTTGTCTGCTGTGTGTGGATTAAAACTATTGGACAAAGTAAAGACAGTCAGCAGTCATTTGAAAACATTACACACTTAATTTAATGTAAATGTTTCTCACCTGGATTTAATTGAGGATGTGGTCGGATTGGGATTGGACATGTTTAATGATGCATTGGTACCAAGTTAAAGGAATTCCCCAAATGAAAATTTGCTGAAAATGTACTCACCCTCGGGCCATCCAAGGTGTAAATGTGTTTGTTTGTTCTTTGGAAGAGATCTTGAGAAATTTAGCAGTACATCACTTGCTCACCAATGGATCCTCTGCAGTGAATGGGTGCCGTCAGAATGAGTCCAAACAGCTGATAAAAACATCGCAATAATCCACAAGTAATCCACCTGATTCCAGTCCAGCAATTAATATCTTGTGAAGTGAAAGCTACATGTTTGTAAGAAACAAATCCATCTTTAGGGCATTTTTTAATTTAAATGTCTCTTCTGGCCAAAATATGAGTCCATAATCCATAACAATTCTTCAGTCACCCTCCAGTAAAAAAGTCCTGCCTGTCCTCTCACATCAGAATCCACCGACAAAACTGTTTTGGACTGTTTTCACTTGTAAATGGTGCTTGATCTGCATATTTCTCTCCTGAATCAGACAAGACAAAACCTTTTCACTGGAGAAAGCAATATGGATAGAGAAATTTTACTGGAAGCAACAGTTTAAAGTTAAAACGTATTAATGATAGATTTGTTTCTTACAAACATGCAGCTGTTCGCTTCACAAGATGTTAATTGATGGACTGGAGTCGTGTAAGTTACATGTGGATTTTTGTGGTGTTTTTATCAGCTGTTTGGACTCTCATTCTGACGGCACCCATCCATTGGTCAACAAGTGATGTAATGCTAAATTTCTCCAAATCTGTTTCGATGAAGAAACAAATTCATCTACTTCTTGCTTGGAGTTGTAGTAAATTTTTGTTCTTGGGTGAACTGTTCTTTTATTATGCCAATGTTAATATACCCTTTTGGGATCTCTGGTCACTTAAACTGAAACATCTCTAAATTGCATCCATATACAATAGATGACATAACCACTCACATTTTGTCTTTGACATCAGTTTTATTGTTGTAAATGCTCAAAGACGACCACCATATTCTGACAGCATGAGCGGAGCTAAAGGTCTGTTCTCCAACCAACACGAGTCTGGTGGGCTTCACTTAACAAGGGATGTTGAAGAGGAAGAAACCACCGTCCCACCATCAAACACCTCTTCCACCACAGTGATCACTGCTGTTTTGGTGGTAGTGATCGAGCTGGAGGAGGAGCTGGAGCCAGAGCCAGAGATTGTGAGGCTGTTTGGAAATAAAAATACCCAACCAATTAAACCTGTAAAGCTCAATTTGTAGCGTCTTTCAAGCTTTAAACCACAAACTTCTACAGAACCCCAAACTAACTATTCTCATTTAAAAATAAAGGTTCCCAAGGGCGTTTTCACGGCAATGCCATTAAAAAACATTTTTGATATCCCAAAGAACCTTTAAGTGAACAGAATTTAAAAGAACCATTTTTTTTTCTTCGTGTGAAGGACATTTTAATAATATAAAGAACCTTTGTCCATTTTGTGGAATGGAAAGGTTTCATAGATGTTAGAGATTTATAATTGGAGCCATCAATGCCAATAAAGAAATGTTTATTTTTATCAACACTACTGCCCAGACGTTTGGGTTCAGTAAGATTTGTTTTAAACAAATGAACACTTCAGCAAGGATGCATTAAATTGATAAAAATTGACAGTAAAGACATTTATAATGTTACAAAAGATTTCTATTTAAACAAATACTGTTAGTGTCACTTGTGTCCAAATAGTTTTGGGGCTGTACATTTTGTCTACACATACTAACCATGGCAAGGAGAGACTGAAGCTCAATCTCCAGTGACTGTACTGTGCTCTTCATTGTGTTGACCTCAGTTTTCGAAGTCTGCAAGGTCTCTGTGCTTGTTGCAACCTCTTGTTTCAAGGTCTCGGACTGCAAAAGAAGTGTTTTAAAACGATCGTTTAAATTAATACATGCATAAGCCCAACATAGGGTTAGCTGTGCCAATGTTTCTAGACTTAAGGGACGTACATACTACTTCTCTATAAAAAACACAAATCATCTTTGCAAGAACTGATCAATCATTTTCTAACTTGTTTTAATTCGGTAGATGTTTTGCCTTTCTTTCATGAACTATTGTTATTTTATTTCCAACATTTTTGAGGTGGGCTCCTAGACTGCATATGTCTTTATGAGTGTTTGTTATCAAAGAATCAAGTTCTGGACTGAACCAACCTTCTGCTGGAACCAGCCTTCAAGGTCTCTCCGGCTCTTGGATACGACAGTCTCGTAGTGCTCACGCATCTCCGCTAGAATTTTGGTCAGGTCTTCCTGTGGTGCTGCATCAACCTCCACATTGACCTGTCCACTCATCTGATCGCGTGAGGTCAAGAGGTCCTGAAGATACATCATATATGATTTTCAAATATCTTCTCATCACCTGTTCATTCTTGCCTTCAAGTGTCATGGAATTGAAATATGTTAGAAAACAGTGACATCTAGAGCTTAAAGCTATAAAACACCTGTGTGACCTGACCTCTTGTCTAAAATGTTTAGCAATTCTTAGCATAATCTTGTGTTTTACACTTTCTTAAAGGTTTTGCAATGATTTACTACCTCCTCATGATTCTTCTTCATGTAGACCAGCTCCTCAGTGAGCCCTTCGATCTGCAGGTTGAGGTCTTTATGACTCATATTGAGCTCGCTAAGCACAGTCTTTAACCCTGCAATGTCTGCCTCCACAGACTGACGCATTGCCAGCTCGTTCTCATATCTGTCCAATAGAAAGCAACATTATACAAAAGAACTGTCTTTTATCAACATCAAGAATTTTGTTGCTGTGACTGGCTATTTTCCCCATTCTACTAGTTTTAGAAGTTCATTACTAGTTGAAGAAGATATTTTTAAGAATGTTGACAACCAAAGAGTTGATGGTAGTCATTCACTTCCACAGTATTTTTTTCCATAATACGGAGATCAATGGCTACATGCAACTGTTTGGTTATCAACATTCTTAAAAATATCTTACCAATTTGAATTTGAAATATGTTATTTTGTGTTCAGCAGAACACAAGATTTGGAACAAGTGAAGGTTGAGTAAATGATGACTGAATTTTCATTTTGGGGTGAACTGTCTCTTTAAAAGGTCATTTGGTGTGACTAATGGATTGTTAACATTACTTTCATCTTTAACATAATTTAAAAATGTGTATAGCATATCACATTACCCAAAATTTTTTGTCGTTTTTCTATAATTTCTGTACACTTCCACAGCAATTATTCTATACAAATGTAATGAAAAATGAAACAAATATTACTTCATTCTGAAGTCATCTGCAGTCAAGCTGGCATTGTCAATGCTGAGGTGGACTGTGTTCTTTTCCTGCATGGCGCTCTGGATCTGCAAAAAATGTGAACTTTTTTATGGTAATGAAGATTATTAGGTTATGCAATTTCCTTACAGCATTAACCACAAAGTATCAAGCTAGACCTACTTTAGCCTGGAGGTCACCTATAGTAGCTTCGAAGGCAGAGTGGTTACGAGCAGTGCCAGTAGGAGAGATTCTGGTTTCAAGAAATTGGCATATCTTCAGCTCGAGGTCAGCATTGGCCTTTTCAAGGGAGCGGACCTTCTCCAGGTAAGCAGCCAGACGGTCGTTGAGATTCTGCATGGTGAACTTCTCGTTGCCAATGATGCTGTCATCCGCTCCTCCACCGACGCCGAATCCTCCTCCAGCTGCAGCACCACCAAATCCCCCGCCGAATCCTCCACCAGCGCCTCCTCCAGCACCAAATCCACCTCCAAAGCCAAAGCCGCTTCCTGAGCCTGCTGAGGCCATGGAGCGAGAGGCACTGGAGATACGGACCCCTGAACCTCCTGCGCCTCCATACACGCTGCCAGCCCTCATGGCGCTGATGCGGCCACTTCCTCCACCTGAAGAAGAGAAGCGTGAGGAGCCCATTGAGGACCTGCTGGAAATGAAGCTGCCGCTGGAGAAGGTGGTAGCCATGTGGACGGTGGTTTGTGGTCTTACTCTGCTCTGGCTGGAGAGTGAGTACAGTAGAGCAACTCAGGGTCCTTATATATGCTGGTAGCTGACAAAGAAGGACGCGCTGACCTTATTCTCATCAAAAACTTTGCTGACAGCAAGGAATTCTGTCAGCTTAAATCACCTGAAGTGAAAGGTGACGCTGAGAAGTAAGATTGGTTGATTGATCTTACCCTCAAGTGAGCAAGATAGACGCTCACATTCCCCCCGTAAACCTTTCCCCAGATAAAAGCAGCTCTGTACATGTTCAAACTTTTATGGAGGTTGCTTGTTTTTCACTGCTGGTTTTACTGTAGTAAAGCCCCTCATGCTCTAAAAACCTTAAATATTCAATATCACTTTTATAGGCCGATAACTAACTCTAATGATTCACTCATTTCAATATATTACTTTTCAAATCTGGGGCACAAAAAAATCAATGCAGAATTTGAACACCAGTTGCATCATATAAAAGTGATGTAGATGTGTTGGAAGAAGCAAGCTTTTCTGCAACAAAAAATATGTAATTAAACAAGATATGAACCTACATGGAGGTATGCTGATCTCACTGTCAATTTAAGATTCACCTAAAGCAACATATGATATAACAATTGTAACTGTAAAGAGTGGATTCTAGTTTGAAACATCTCATGTTTGTGCATGCACTACACAGAGCAGCAGAATGTTTCCCACCAAGTTCAGCTTAACATTAAATTTGTCCCTTAGGCTGTTGAGCTGAAGAACAGATCTCTGTATTATCAAGAGATTCATGATACATTTTATTACTTCTCATACTGTTAAATTTGACATCAGTGTTTTTTGTACAAATCTTACTTTAAAAAACTTTTAAAATTAGGCTAATAATTATATTTAATAATTATAATAACTAAGTGTAATATAAATGTGTGTTTCTTGTGATGGATTGGCCATCCATCTGGGGGTGTTTGCTCCATCTGCAGCCCAATATGCTGGAAGAGACTACAGAATCCCTGCAGAGAACAGGCAGTTTGGAAAATGGATGTTTAATATAATAAAAATATTTGAATGGAATTTGATTAATTATACAGTGTACCCAAATTTTAAAACTCAATTTCAGATTATTCAGTAAATATAATACTGAAAAGAAATTAATACATCAGTGTTATTCCTGCTTCCTGTTTGCAGTGCTGCTGGTTTGTGATTGTAGCTTCGTGTAGCTCTGTTTTTCTGTAAAATCTCTATTACTCTCTGTTGTTTAAAGTGATAAAATATAACTTAATTCCCACCATATTTCTGATATTATCTATCAACCTAATCTGATTAATTTGATCGTTCGCTTTTATTCTAAAACCGCGAGTGCAGCGCATCTGCATTCGTTAGCTTGTCATTAGTGTTTCCATTCGTGCCTATTGCTTTTTTCTTTCGCTCCGTTTTTTTTTTCACAAGTTCATCAAACAACTGTGGTAAGTAAGAATCATTCATCAATCACGGTGAGTAATGGCTTTTTCTCCTGCTATTGTTGTTTGCACCGCTTGCCACATGTATAGTTTATCTCTCTCTGTCGGCGACAAGGGATTCTTGCATTATTGACACACTATTTTCCTAATTAATGCTGTTCAGTTGCTTTGACACAATCTGTATTGTTAAAAGCGCTATATAAATAAAGGTGACTTGACTTGACTTGACATCATTCTTAATATTTATACTCAATTTCATATTCATTAATTGGCATAGAAAGTGTCACCAAGTTTCAAAATGTAGAGTTCAGCCCACTTGAGCTGCAGGAATTTACAGTGTCTGACCACTCCCTATTTTGCTTATGTTCAACAAGTCATAAACTCTGTTCAGAAGGTCCATGTTCCATGTATAGTGCATTATACACTATTATAGTGTATACAACATTATAGTGTTGTCTGAATTCTGAGTGATTAAATTAATTCCCCAAATATGGTTCACTGTTGTATAGCCATAATGCACTCTTTATTGTTTCCAACAACCAATGTAGGCCTACACTATGCTATAGCCTACTACCAATAATCAGAAAGTTTACAATTTTAAAGTAATTCAGAGTCTAAAACAATGGTACTTGTCTAATCACGTTTTTCGTAAATCCAAGAAAATCCAAGCTTGTATAGCCTAAAATTTACAAGATGGCTTAATCTCAGTAGTACAAATACATGTAATACAAAAAAATACAAAAAGTATTTTTGTTAACAGACCTCTGCAAACGACTCGCCTAAACTCAAAATTCGCGTGTCTAAATCCCATAATTATCCGTTTTAGAGCAGTTTAGCGAAATGTATGTCAAATCTTTGTTTAAAAAAAAAAAAAAAAAAAAAGGCTGGTTCTTGGTCTGGAACATAGGAAGCGTCGATTTACTTACTCGACCACAAGAGCGCGCGCGCCGGACAGGAATGGCGCGTATTTCTGAGGGAGAGTTTTCAGCGAGGTAAGACCTGTTTTTATACAGTTTATGGGTAATACACTTGAATTATATCTCGACAAATAAATAAATGTTTTGTTTAGCCACAAATTATATCACGTAATGTTTATGGCAAGTTATGGAAGTATCATAATATTAATCACGTTAAAATGCCTTGAGTAGAAATGTTTAATGGGATTAGCTTGACTCACTGAAGCTAATGGTTTTAATCTAAAGATTGTTGTAGAGATATCCTTTCGAGTTTGACTACTTACGTAAAAACAAAATGTTATATTAATCCAAGTATGTTAAAAGGATAGTCTCTTTCACCCAGATGTACTACATTAGTCATAACAATACTTCTACTAGTTAAAGTTATAATATTTCCAAAACATTTACTTTAAATCGAATTTGTGCATGAGCTAATTGTACATTGTGGCATTCACAATCGGCCTGCTTGAATGTTTACTTGCTATAATATTTAATACTTTCGGCTATTACTGACGGATGTCATGCCTGCATTTTGTATTTTTTTTTATTACTTTTAAAATTTATTATTTGATTTATTTATTTAGAGTCTTGGTCCTAGCACTCTTGGTGCCAGGGGTGTGAAAACATTCCCTTTGTAACAACTTAGTTCTTCACATTTTCTTAAAGCTTTAACAACTATAGAACTTGTTAGTCCAGTGGATTAGTTTTTGTTTGATGTGCAATAGGTCTCAAATCCCAACATGTCATCTTCTTTCAGTAGATTTTGAAATCACCAGCTGTCAACTGGATTACCCCTTACCCTTTAAAGTCATCTTGAGAACAGTGATGTAATTTTGCCTTTTAGTTAGCTGTCATTCCATTTTTACCACAACTAGGCTAATACAAGCAGATCTATTTTTTTCCCCATTTAAAATCTTTTGCATACATTTTTACATTGTGCCATAAAATATGACAACAAAACAGACGAAAATAAGACAGACACTCGAAATGCATAGTTTGTGCACAGTTAGTGCAGTTTATTGATTTCATCACTCTGAGTTAGGATGTTTTTGACACAGTCTCGCTTTTAGACTGGGAGGATGAGCTGACAACTTTGCCATCCACCACCTCTTCCACAATGGTTACCACTTTGCGTGTAGTCGAGGATGTACTTGAGCTTGAGGTTGAGACACTGCAGAGGTACAAACAAATAATATTACTCTATGGAAATGCCAGACAGATATCCATCTCACTTTAATTTTGTTTATTATAATAAACCACCACTGCTTATTGAAAAACGGTGACACTACTGTCTAAATGTTGTTATTAAGAGATTTTTATTCTAGTTGTGTCTCACCTTGTAGCCTCTCCATCCAGAAGTCTTCTGTACTCTGCAATCTCCATCTCCAGTCTGGTCTTGATGTCCAGAAGCATCCTGTACTCTTGCCCTTGGCGCTCCAGATCGGCACGAAGCTGCACCAGCTGCTCTTCCAGGCTGGTTACCTGGAACTGGTAGTCGGACAACATGGCAGCGTAGCAGGCCTGTGTGTCTGCCAAAGTGCCTTCCAGTGATGCTTTCTGTTGGGGAAAGCTTAGTTATTCTGTGTTCTATGCAGTGTGATGACCAAAATTTACAAGATTCATCTCTGCCTGCTTACCATGCTGAGTTGGGACTGTAGCTCGATTTCAAGACTCTGGAGTGTGCGTTTAACCTCTGTGATTTCAGATCGGGATGTTTGAAGGGTTTCTGTGCTCACTGCAACTTCCTTGTTGACTGCTTCACTCTATGAGAGACAGCAAAGCAGTCAGACCTTTTGTTGATTTTCATTAAAACATTGCCCTTTTAAAAAAAACAAAAAAAAAACATTACCTTAGCCTGGAACCAGGCCTCAAGATCTTTGCGGTTCTTGGCAGCAACTGCCTCGTAGTGTTCACGGATTTCAGCCATGATCTTTGTCAGGTCTTCCTGTGGTGCCGCGTCTACCTCTACATTGACTTGTCCGCTCACCTGGACACGTGCTGCCAAGAGTTCCTAAAGATGCAATAAAAACCACTGAGCATTTGCCTCACATACATTTCAAGAGGAACTACTGAGTGTGAACCCACCACCAACTTACCTCCTCGTGGTTCTTCTTGAGGAAGATCAGCTCTTCTTTTAGACCCTCAATCTGCATCTCAAGGTCAGATCTGGCCATTGTCAGCTCATCCAGCACCCTCCTCAGGCCAGCAATGTCTGCCTCTACAGACTGCCTCATGCTCAGCTCATTCTCATATCTGCACAAAAAATAAACTCATTTAAATGCTTTAGACCTTTTGCAGATGTTGAAAATGCTGTTTGTTTATGTTGCTAGTTACTTACTTGACCCTGAAGTCATCTGCAGCCAGCTTGGCATTGTCAATGCTCAAGTAGATGCCTCCGTTTACACCAGTGGCATGCTGAATCTTCAGGGGCACAGATTGAAAAAAAAGAGTCAAATTGCATTCCTGAGAAATCCAGTGTTTTTCACATTCTCTGCACATGAGGAACCATAGGATATTGAGGGATATTGGCACATAATAAATAAATGAAAAAGGGTCAAATTTAGATCACTCTTGCAGTAATTGAGAAATTCAGTGTTCATTAAATGCTTTGAATATATGCTTTATGCTTTGCAAATGGGGAACCATGGGATATATAGAATTGGTTCATTTTTGTCTAAAGGTAGTTTAATGATTGACTTTACTCTCATGTTTTATAGGTAAGTCACGTACCTTGGCCTGGAGGTCACTGATAGTAGCATAATAGGCACTGTAGTCACGAGCAGAGGGGGCCGTCTTGCTGTCCAGGAACTGGCGAATCTTCAGCTCAAGATCATCATTGGCCTTCTCAAGGGAGTGCACCTTCTCCAGGTAGGAGGCCAGACGGTCATTGAGGTTTTGCATGGTGGCTTTCTCGTTTGCAGACACATCAACAGCATCAGACAGGTTGAAGCCAGTACCACCACCAAAACCAGCACCACCACCGAAACCAGCACCACCTCCTCCAGCAGAGAAGGAACGAGAAGCAGAGGTACTGGAGATACGGACCCCGGTTCCTCCTGCTCCCCCATACACACTACCAGCACGCATGGCTGTGACACGACCGGCTCCTCCACCAAAGTGGGAAGAAATTCCTGAAGACATGTAGGTGCGGCTGGAAGAAGAAGTCATCATTTTGAAGAAGGCTTGTTGTCGTCCTCAACTCTGGCTGGAGAATGAGAGAGCGGATGAGTGAGGAGAAGACGACCCCTGTTCCTTTTATGTGGACAAAGGGGGTGGACCATAAAACCCTTGCCCCATTCCCTAAGGCAGCAGGCGTGGCTGAAGACAGGTCTGCATGGTATGTTAGCGTTTTAGAGTTTCACTTAAATTCCTCAATAATTCCTTACATTTTGCTCTAAGCATGAAGCCACGGATTGACGGAGATGTATTTTTTGAGCTAACAGTTTTGTTTAATTTACTCATTTCTTTCTACTTTAATTAAATTTTAATGTTTGAATTAGGAATTCATAGTATATTGGCCGTCATATCCTATCAGTCTGTTAAGTAAAAATGGAATAATATATTTAATTGAATATATTCAGTAAACCATAGCTAAACTGGACCCTACAATATGCGTAGTTGACCTTTCTATTGTTAAACACAAATAAAATTAAATGCTTACTTAAAGCCTACAATATATATATATATATATATATATATATTGTGCTGGACACATACATTTTATTATTCTTTGTTATGTTCTATTCTCTACATAGGTGTCTTTCTTTATTCCAGTGGTTCATAATAGGCCAATTTTTAATTTGGGGGTAAAAAAATATTGTTTTTTCTAAATTGAAAAGCAGTTTTCCACTACACATGTTAGCTGGTGACACAAAAAATACTCACTTTGGAAGACCACATTTGTACAAGCTTTATGTATGTATAATAATATAAATCACCAGTTCTTGGCATTGATTACAAATCCATTACCTAGTTTGCATATGTTTTTATATGAATTATTTTTTACAGATTGTGAATTTAAACAATGCAGTTGTTGCCTAATGTCCCTACTGTTGCATCAAAATGAGCTATATTAAACACCAAGCGATTAAAAGTAGGTTTAGCTTGTCTGAAGGGGTTTCGGATGACCTGCTAATGATAATCAGGCTTGTTGCAAATAGAAAGTTTTATTTTTGTGTGCAACAAAGTTGTGTTGTGCAACTTTTAAATATTTCGAGTGTGGAGTGAATGTAATACTGTAGAGCTTAACACAGTGAATATTTATATCTAATGTTGTTTCATTCTAAAAAATATATGAATTTATTATGTAAATTCCTAACATTTGTAGTTAGAGCTAATTCTTGAGTGATGATTTTTAGATTTTGCCTTCAGTTTTAATTAATTCTGACCCATATTAAGTTGAAGGTACAGGAGGCAATGTCCAGAAACTTTGTTGTGTCCCTCCCGGTAAGTATGTGGTCATGCAACAAAATGTATTTTATGGCACTACACTTGCTGCAGGGACAGTCACCCAGAGCAGTGTTTCTCAAACCTGTTTCTGGAGGCACATTGTTGAATCAGGTTTTTAATAAGGAAAAGTTTGAAAATAGGTATTGTTGGTGCTGGCCTAGAGCTAAAGGTTATGTCCTTTGCTCAGGGCCACACAGGTGATGACCCTTTAAGGTTTGACCCTGCAACATTTACCAGCCTATGTCAATTTAGTAGTATTGCTCACATACCTTTGGTGCTTTTATAGGCAAACAGTTTTAAATACACTTCATACAAATGTTAATATTCATTCATATTTTTTCCATCCTGACCTTGGTCTGTTGATTACCTGATTTAATTTGGTGAGGATCAGAGAAACTTAGAAGTAAGAACAGTGCTGGGTAGTAACTGATTATATGTAATCTGGATTACGTAATCAGATTCCAAAAATTGAGTGCTCTGGATTATATTACATTTTAAAATGTTTATAATGAGATTACAATTACTTATGGATTACATGATTACATGCTATTCATAAAATGGCAGTGAATTATTTATTATTTATTGATTCTCCTTAATACTTCTTTTTTTCTCTTTAAAATTTTCCTTTCCAAAAATCTTACTGTGTCAGACCATTTAGATTTGACTAAATTCCCAATATAAAATGTTAATGCCATGTAAGTAATTTTGCAATCCACGCTTCTGAATTTGGCCCTCAAGCAATTAGCCCATGTATGAAACAAATAATTATGCAAGTTACTAAACATTGGTGATGATGAGTAGCTGTGAAATGTCTTCATCATATCCAGTAACCTTTAATAATTGTTAGTTCTGGAGGGCTGAACAAAAATATTTCAAACCTGGAAGACTTAAGACGTGTAATGTCTTTGCTGTTTTCATGTTTATTAATGTTTGTTCATTTAATGCAGGGATTCTGAAACATTTTTGTCAGCCAAATCCCTTTGGCATAAAATATTTACTTGAAATATCCCTGAGGAAGTTAATATTTTAATAATTTAACAAGGCATTTGCATGTTCACAGTTCTCTGGTGTCAGTTAATAGTCACATTGACATGCAGGTAAAAAATAAAATATGTCTGTTTTTTAGTGTTCAGGTGTTTTATTTTGATTGCTTTGTTATAAAAATTTTTTATATACTTATGACTGAATTAATTATTAGTTTTTTTTTAAAAACTCACAAACCCACTGCCGTTCTTACATTAACCCCAGTTAGGGAAACCTGGTGTAATGTAATGTTTAATGCACTTAATGATGTTGATATCAAATAATGGAATATATTTCCTTAACCTTGGCTTTTTTTATATCAGTATGATACATTTATTGGTAGGTTTAAAACAAGTTAGAAAAGTAATCTAAAAAGTAGTCACAATACATTACCTAAAATGAGTAAAATAAGATTGTCACAAACTACAATTTGAGATAAGTCTCACTTCCTTTGAGACATTTATCATCAAATTCATTATTTGAAAAGTTATTAAAAATCAACTATCTATTTGGTAAGTTTTGTGAGGCTGTCTTAAGACCATCTAAGTTTATATTAAGTTTATATTATCTTTAAAACAGTCAAATGATTATTCATGTTATTATAAGAAACATCAGAGAAAAGAAAAGTGATGTCCATTAGAATAAACACTAAGTTTGAACTGAATAAAATAATCTGTTGATTGGGGCTTGTTCAAATTACTTAATAAAATATCCTAATAAACAGTAATCCAATAAGTCAATGGCCTTCAGAACTACTGAAAACATTCATTAATTTTGAAAAACCGAAAACCATTAAATGCATGCAGTGTAACCTTATTTTTTTCTTATTTTAATGATTTATACCAATATTTGCAATACTTGAGTAAGTTGTGTTACCCTGTTTATGAACAAAAATAGTAGTTTTATAATGCTAGCTAATTATTGGTTTTCATAAGACTTTTTTATACTTGCCAAAATAGGAGCTGATTTTATGCAAAGTGCAAATGACATCAAAACAAGACATACACAAAAATGCACAGTTAGACCACTTTATTGGCTTTTCATCACTCTTTTGTAGATAGATTTTGCTCAAGGGTGGTTTTAAGACACGGTCTGGCTTGTAGACTGGGAGGATGAGCTGACCACTTTGCCGTCCACCACCTCTTCCACAATAGTTACCATGTAGTCAAGGTTTTGCTTGTGGTTGAGACACTGCAGAGGCAGAATACAAAGATTATTAAATAATGGCCACTTAAAAATTAGAAAGTTAATGTTTAATTTACGTACTGTTCTTAAAAGATTTTGTTGTAGTTGTGTCTCACCTTGTAGCCTCTCCTTCCAGAAGTCTTCTGTACTCTGCAATCTCCATCTCCAGTCTGGTCTTGATGTCCAAAAGCATCTGATATCAGATCGGTACAAAGCTGCATCAGCTGCTCTTCCAGGCTGGTTACCTGGAACTGGTAGCCGGACAACATGGCAGCGTAGCGGGCCTGTGTGTCTGCCAAAGTGCCTTCCAGTGACGCTTTCTGTTGGGGAAAGTTTAGTTATTTTGTGTTCTATGCAGTGTGATGACCAAACTTTACAAGATTCACATCTGCTTGCTTACCATACTGAGTTGTGACTGTAGCCCAATTTCAAGACTTTGAAGTGTGCATTTAAGCTCTGTTATTTCTGATCTGGATGTTTGGAGAGTTTCTGTGCTCACAGCGACTTCTTTGTTGAGGGCTTCGCTCTGTGAGAGGAAATCCATCAGAAAGCAGTCAGGTAAGTCTTTTGTTGGTTTTGATTATTGCAATCTTGCAAATTTTACAGACTAATTCTCATTTTACCTTAGCCTGGAACCAGGCCTCAAGATCTTTGCGGTTCTTGGCAGCAACTACCTCGTAGTGCTCACGGATTTCAGCCATGATCTTTGTCAGGTCTTCCTGTGGTGCCGCGTCAACCTCTACGTTGACTTGTCCGCTCATCTGTGCGCGCGCTGCCAAGAGTTCCTAAAGACGCAATAACAAACCACTGAGCATGTCCCTCATCAGGAAGAATAACGGGTTTATTGAAGACTATCAATCAAGCACCAACTTACCTCCTCGTGGTTCTTCTTGAGGAAGATCAGCTCTTCTCTTAGACCCTCAATCTGCAACTCCAGATCAGATCTGGCCATTGTCAGCTCATCCAGCACCCTCCTCAGGCCAGCAATGTCTGCCTCTACAGACTGCCTCATGTTCAGCTCATTCTCATATCTGCACAAAAATGAATCCATTGTAAATGTTTTGGATCCTTTATAAAAATTTGTGTTTTTTTCATAGTGCAAGCCTTTAAGTTGCAGACTTACTTGACCCTGAAGTCATCTACAGCCAGCTTGACATTGTCAATGCTCAAGTAGATGCCTCCATTTACACCAGTGGCATGCTGAATCTTCAGGGGCTTGGAAAGAAATGCATCAAAGGTACATTTTAGATCTCTCTTTTATGAATACTTGTGTTTTACACTGTTTGAATATATGTTATGCAAAAGAAGAATGATGGTAAATTCACAATTGGTTAACTTTTGTCTAAAGGTAGTTTAAAGATTGACTTGACTAATATGTTCAATAGTAGGGCTGCACGATAAATCGCATGCGATATTTAACGCGCATCCTGTCAGAAAGCCTAGTTAAGTCACATACCTTGGCCTGGAGGTCACTGATAGTAGCATAATAGGCGCTGTAGTAACGAGCAGCAGGAGTGGCCTTGCTGTCCAGGAACTGGCGAATCTTTAGCTCAAAATCAGCATTGGCCTTCTCGAGGGAGCGCACCTTCTCCAGGTAGGAGGCCAGACGGTCATTGAGGTTTTGCATGGTGGCTTTGATGAAACCAAATGAAACCATTTCAACCCTTTGTAGTAAACTTGATTGTTATCAGATCATACAGAACCCTCCCCAGACATGATAAACCTGTTTCATCTACTGAATGTGTCAAGATTTACATCAAACTGCCAGGTATTTAAATTTTATTATGTGAAGCCCTGTCTGAGATATTCATTTGATTATGAAATCAACAGATCTCAGGATTGCCCCCTCCAGAGCAGATCATTCATAGAGGTGGTATCTGTACATGTGGTAGGATGACAGTACAACAAACACTTTTCATGCAAAGTTCATTAGATTTAATACAATGCGGGCCTCTAGTTTTTATCTCTGTTCTTTCACTCATAGAATGCATTGATTAGATTAACTTAGATGTAATCGGTTTTATCCAATGAGAAAAGTAACATATTAAACTGCTTACCCCTCAGCCTATAAACCCACTGGGCAAATAAATCTGACTAAACTTAATGACAGAAATTTGAAAGTCAGGTTGAAAGTGAACAGGCAGGTAAAATAACTCCCACAGCATTTAAATTATGCAGAAATTCACTTGTGATTGTACTAGATACTTCAAAGGTATCATAAATCATCATGAACTCAATTTAGATACTTTAACCGTTTTATTTTTAATTTTTAACAAACTTGATGTTTTCCCTGTAGATCTGAATGAAATGTTTAGCCTCTAAGCTATCAATGCTCTGAATTTTCTGTTTGTGATTTCCTTGGTCTGAAATTATATTAAGAATAAATGCATGTTAAACTGTTTATAATGCTATATAAAACATATAATTGTTTCTTAAGTTCTTTTGTAGAAACAATGGAAAATGGACAAAAACAATATGAGTAGAGATGTCATTGTAGAGTAGCATAGGCTTAAGAACAGTTGTAATCAGCTAAAGGAAAAAATGCTTGTAGCATCAGGTTACAGCTGCCAAACCTGAGGAATACCATGCAGCTGCACAGATTTTCAAAAGCAGACCAGGTGTGATGTTCACAAATGGTATGAAAGACTCTACAAGTGTACTACAGTGTAACAAACTCATGGGATTGTACATTATTGTTCCTCCCAAGTACTCAGCGACCAAGTGACATGTTGTATCTCTGACATGTTGTGTTGTCTTACAGGCAGGATCAACTAGGTTGCTGGAGAGAATAGTGTGCAGCAGTCATTATTTATGAGGCATTCTCTTCAAAAAACTATTTGCCATTGTTTCTGTGGTGGTAAGTACACCAAGAAAGTGAGCTTGCACTGCTCTGCTGCCTAGAGTCACCCATTACTGAACTTGTTAATGAAAATGAAACACATTTTTCATGCCATTATTTCAAGTGTGCTTAAATTGTTGGATTAAACAAAGGAGGTCTAAAATACCTGAAGAAGTTGTCTGTTAGCATCCCATTCACTGCAATGGCAGTGCTTCCAGCCCCGGAAGCACACATCTTTTTTCAAATGTATATGTTGCTTGCAAAAACATTGATTTCACCTAATTACAGTAAATGGCCTTCAATGGAGAAACTTTTTTTTTTTTGCCTACATAGGCCTAGTGGTTGTCGTGTGGGGAACAAGAAATGCAGAAGAAAATGAGGATCTACGTGCAAAGTGGTTTATTAATAGTCCAAAGGAAACAACAACAAGGAACACAGAGAACTAGAAGAACAGGGACAAGAAACTAACACCAAACAATGACTGACTTAAGGTAACACAAGGACCATGGGCGACATTTGATTCTTGAGTCAGGGGGGGCAAGAAAAAAATAAATAAATAAAATAAAAAAAGCAAAATATTTTTTTTCCGGATGTAAGCATTAAAACAATGCCCTACCGTATAACAATGCATCAAAGCAGCCAATACAACACAGTCAAGAATAACTTAAAGGGGTCATATGATGCTGCTAAAAAGAACATTATTTTGTGTATTTGGTGTAATGAAATGTGTTTATGCGGTTTATTGCCACCGTTTAGTAAACTGTGGAGATTTTAATCTTGCTGCTGACTTGAATGGCGATGCTTCCTGTTTTTCAGTTGATGGCCTTTCATTTTTAACCAGAAATGTGCACGCTGCTTTTCTGATGTTCACTGTTTTCCGTGTCTTTTTCCCGTGTCACTTGAAATGTGTCTGTTTTGAATCGTTGTTACCAATGGCGAGACACGGCGAGGAAAAAATAAATTATATATTCTGTCATAAGTCGCATACCATTCATTCATTGCTGAACTTTCTACCGTCCGTTACTGGAAATTAAATTAAATGACTGGTTGATATGTCTCGATCTCAATAAAGTTTACACACACTTTTGGTCCGCGAATTAGATCTTGCTCGGGTCGCGCGCTGTCGAGGTTTGGCCAGGACCGGCTCCAGAATTAAATCACTGAGGCTGCTTTCACATATATTTGATGTTATATGTTATAAATATGCGGATGTCATTCCCAAAACTTTGCAGGGTGTAGGCTGTGTGTCCGAAAAACAAAAGTTTCATACAAATTCTGAATGGATTATACCCTAGAAAGTACGCAAAGCGCACTCCCTTTATCACAAGCGTCACTCATCTTCGTTCATCGTGATCTCACAAAGTTCCGTTATAATGAATTAAGCTCTCTAAACATTTACATTACGTCAAACTGTGAAAACATGCCATATGAATAAAGCACTGAATTGAAAAGATCTCCAGTAGGTGTTATGCAAAATTCCCATGACCGTTTCAATGACCACATCCCTGACCTTGACCGCTTCCCTGATCATAACCGCTTCCCTGACCATAACCGCTCCCCTGACCGCTTCCCTGACCATAACCGCTCCCCTGACCATGACCGCTTCCTTGACCATAACCGCTTCCCTGACCGCTTCCCTGACCATAACCGCTCCCCTGACCATGACCGCTTCCTTGACCATAACCGCTTCCCTGACCCTGACCGCTCCCCTGACCATAACCGCTCCTCTGACCGCTTCCCTGGCCATTTCCCTGACCGCTTCCCTGGCAGTTCCCCTGGCCGCTCCCCTGGCCATTTCCCTGGCCGCTTCCCTGACCGCTTCTCTGACCATTTCCCTGACCGCTTCCCTGACCATTTCCCTGGCCGCTCCCCTGGCCATTTCCCTGACCGCTTCCCTGGCCGCTTCCCTAGCCATAACCGCTTCCTTGACCATAACCGCTTCCCTGACCCTGACCACTTCACTGACCATAACCGTTCCCCTGACCGCTTCCCTGACCATAACCGCTCCCCTGACCGCTTCCTTGACCATAACCGCTCCCCTGACCACTTCCATGACCGCTCCCCTGACCGCTTCCATGACCATTTCCCTGACCGCTTCCCTGGCCGCTCCCCTGGCCATTTCCCTGGCCGCTTCCCTGACCGCTTCCCTGACCATAACCGCTTCCCTGGCCGTTTCCCTGACCACTTCCCTAACTGCTCCCCTGACCATAACCGCTTCCCTGGCCGTTTCCCTGGCCTCTTACCTGGCTTCTTCCCTGGCCACTTCCCTGGCCATTTCCCTGACCACGTGGTTCACTGCATGCACGGCCACTGGTGGTTGGGCAACATTTCTGTGTGGTAGGACACTGGCCATCATGGAAACAGCTTTCAGCACACAGTGGAATGTTCTTCAGTTTGGGACATTGACCCGGCTTCACTGCATGGACACAGATAGTCAGCTTTAGTTTGTGCATATAGACAGTATGCCACCTCAATATACAGCACGAAACACTCAAAGCATTAATAGCAAGTTTTACCTACAGAGTGAACTATATTCAAAGTATTTTTTCTCTTTATTTTGTAAAGTCATTGTGTTTAAAACTATCCTAAGGGATGAATTCAAACCTACTTTAGACGAGAACAAAAGGCAAAATTTAAATAATAATAATAATAATAATATCATCATCATTATCATCATCATCAACAACTGACCAAAACAATATAACACAAATACCTGTATATGGAGCTGTACAGTAACGTCCACATCCATTGCTGCAGCACTTCTCATTGTTGGGACAGTTAGAGTCACTCTTACAGGAACTGGTACATAATCTTCTTCCAGATGATTGGGGTGGACACCGTCCTGGCTTTGCTGTTATACAGACACCATCACTGAATGCTGAACATTTCCATTCACTTAAATTAAAAAGTTTTGTAACATTTTACTGCTTAAACAAGAGGATCATTAGGGGAGGCCAGGGAGCGCAGTTCCTGCATTTGTAAATCAGGGGTTTAGCAATAAGTCTCAATGAATTCAAACCTACATACGAGAAGAACAAAAGGCAAAATTATAATAATAATAATAATAATAATATCATCATCATTATCATCATCATCAACAACTGACCAAAACAATATAACACAAATACCTGTATATGGAGCTGTACAGTAACGTCCACATCCATTGCTGCAGCACTTCTCATTGTTGGGACAGTTAGAGTCGCTCTTACAGGAACTGGTACACAATCTTCTTTCAGATGATTGGGGTGGACACTCTCCTGGCTTTGCTGTTATACGGACACATACAAACCCGTAAGACCTTCGTTCATCTTCGGAACACAAATTAAGATGTTTTGGATGGAACCTGAGATCTGTCTGACCCTGCATAGACAGAAACGCAACTGAAATGTTCCCAAGTCCAGAAATGTAGCAAGGAGATCGGTAAAATAATCCATGTGACATCAGGGGTTCAACCGCAATTATACGAAGCTACGAGAATACTGTCGGAGCAAAAATTTTAGATATAACAACAAGACGGTTCATTCATAATATTATAAAAAAAAAAAATCAATAATAACTCACATCACTCATGAAGGTATCCATTATCACCGTGTGTGTGCATGACCTCCACCCACCCTGCTTCTGATGACGTCGCTCGTGTTTTTTTTTGTTTTTTTTCACCTTATTTCAAATTACGACTAACACTTTTCTCATCCTAATTTTACAAGTTGAAAGTTACAAAACAACACACGCACAGCGCTGACTGACTCTGATAACGGCCGGGTGTTCTCCGAGTCCGATCGACTCTGGTATTACACACAATGTTAAACAGACCCGGGACCCGAGGTAATAGATTGGGACCCGACCCGGACCCGGCTGACCATTTAAAATAGAGACCCGAACCCGTACGGATCCCAGGTCGGGTCCCGGGTCCTCGGGTCTCGGGTCCTCCGTGTAGACCTCTAAT